TTGACAAGATCATCTATAGTAAGCAAAAAGCACTGTCAATGTCACCATATTATGTTGTGTTACATATTTTATTTTCAACGTTTAAAGCAACCTAATAAAATATGCATGACACTAGATACATGGCTGAAATGTAATCAAAGTGTTTGACTGTTTATCTTAATACCTCTTGGAGGCCTGTAAATTGTATAAATAAATGTATAATCAGTATGTTAATAGTTATAAAATTTCATTAATTTCATTTTAAAAATATTTTCAGTATTTCTACATTTCATTTTATATGAATTACATTAAAATCTGATTTGCAAGCTTTAGCAGTAAGCAGTATATATCTATTTTTGTTACACAATAAATATTCAAATGGATTATGTTTTTTCAATCTTTGTTTATATTATCATCATTTGTAAATGTGCCAATTAATATTTTCTAATGAATTTTCATATTTTAAGATGGAACACTAAGATCACTAAGACCAGAAACAAGAGTAAAACTATCAAATATATTCAAACCATAGAAAGCTTAATTATAAAAGTATAGTAAATCATTTTCAAGTGTTCTAATATTTAACCTTGTAAAAAATAGTTCTAAATATTTATAATAAAAACTAACACCTGGTACACAAATAATGCTTGTAGAGGAAACACCCAGATACATGCAACAAGCAAACAGTCTTGGAGATCTGCAGTATATACGCCAAAGACAGACCCAAACACAATCTATAACTGACCTTCTCCTGAAGACAGATCTTCTTCACAGGGTACATCATCATAGATCACCTCCGGACCAGCCGTCTGGTGTTCTGAATCAGCAGAGGTCTCACCTAAAAAGGAAAAAAAAATAAAAAAAAAATAAAAAAGGAAATGCACGCGCCTAAGGACTGTGAGTGCATTAGTTTGGATGCGTTTACCATATAAAAGCAAAGAAAGAAGCCTATGAATTTTTGTGAACAGTCCCTTGACAGAAAATAGAGAACAGAGCATCAAAAACAAAACTGTTCTTCTTTGCTTGCATTTTTTATAGGATTTTATGATCTGAGAGCTGCTTATCCAAGCCAACACAGAGACATATGCTCATAGCATTACTTCTTGTGAGTTTTCTGCTGTTTTTTGTGCTACTTATGTGATTGGCTTTACCCCGTATTCTTAGTCAACATCAATCAAAACATGTCAATGAAACTGAACTTGGCGTGCCACATTCTTTTAAAAGATTTGTTGAGTGCAATTTCTTCTTAAAACTACCCATGCTCCGTTTCCAATTCATCAGACAGCTGCACTCAGAGAAAAAACACTGAACTAAAGGCAGGCCATACAGCAGAAAGCTGGCGCTATTTTAAACTATGCTACCAAAGGAAGTGAACTTATCTGACAATCTGTCACCATATCAGAATTCAGAAAACCAAACACAACTGCTTTTCCAATCGGAAATAAGATCAGGGTGGAAACAGCCATGTGTTCTCACACCAGTAATCTCACTTGCCAACTACAGTAGCGGGATGACACATCTATTCGAAACAGCCCAAAATTCAGCATTTAGTAAAATAACACATTTTCGTGAGGTTTACGTTGTGGTTCTACGGAGCCAAAAGGACATTTGCGGGGGGGGGGGACTTTAGCGTTTGTAGCCTACGGCAAAATGTTCGCTCAACGTTTATGTAGGCCTATCAGTTCCTATATTTTTGTTTTTCTGAATAACATAACGAAAAACAATCAACTTTTTCTAAGTAGGCCGCTGTTATTTTCTCTAAAAGTTCTGTATCATTTTGCAAGAAAATCCACAACGTTTTAAATATACAAACATGGTTTTTACGTTATTCTAGCTGTTACAATAGCAAAACTTAGTAATTTTTACTCACCCTGGTCTGCCCAAACCTGTATGACATTTTCATCCGTGATACACTGGGATGACAAGATGGTGACCAATTAAGCTCCAAAAAGCCCAAGATAAAAGTGGGCTTAATAACAGCAGTCCATGATTCGTTCATTCGGTTGATTTAGGTGAAACACTGACCATACAGACAAACCTGCCCTATCTGGCGTGTTCGCGAGAACGTCTTTGTTTACTTGCAGATAAGTGCAACAAACATCACGCCAATAAATGCGAAGAAACTACACTATTTGTTCCGTCTATCGTCAACGTGGTAGCCTACATTTGAACAAGAACAAAATTGTAGTATGTACAATAGCCTGCTATAGAGGCCTATCTCGTCTTCACACTTCAAGCATGTGGATTTCTAATGGATTTCTTATGCGCACGCGAACTTCATTTTTTCCTTCAAATGTTGCTTTAGGCTCCGTTCTAATGATACACTTGCCATTTTGTATAACACTTATAAGTGCACACGCGCTTTTTGTTGAATCCATTATGTAAAACTTGTACAAATACTGATTTATCAATAGTGCATTCTTGTTTTTACATATAATGAAGAAAGAAACAAATAAAGCCAACAGTGTCACTCATTTCTGAATATTCAAGTATTACTTAGTATTTAAACACTATAACTGTGAGACGTTTATTATTATTATTTTTATCTCTTACCTTCAGCATTTTGTGCTGGGCTTGGTCTGATATCCTCTGTTCCTGTGTCAGTTTTAACAGTGCATGTTTCCCTCTCGGTCTTCACCTCAGTGCAAGTCTGGTCTTCCTTTTCATTTAAGTCCTCTGGTGCAGCAGAGACTGTGGAAGCTTGGTCTCTGGAACATTCCCCAAAAATAGAGCCATATTATTGCTGACCTCTCAAGGGTATAACCGTACTGAGATCAGCTCAAGTCTAAGACTGGGTGGTAGGAGAGAAGGGGAAGAGAGAAGGAGCCCTCCGCCGCCCCATATAGTGAGTAACACAAAAAGCACTTGTGTTTCATTATAAGTGCTACAGTGTTTGGTGTGGAGGACTTAAGCTTTTGAAAATGGAAATGGGGTAGAGTTTTCACAGTACCGAGACGAATAACCAATGCAATATGAGTTATTTTATCTTCATAGAATTTGATTAAATTGAAATAAATGTTTATAATATTATACAAATACTAGTACTGCAGGCCAGTCAACCCAGTAGTGGTGGTGCTTGTTATGTCAACTTAATTTAACTACAGTAAATTCAAATGTCTATGAGCTGTGGTACACAAAAAGTGTTAGTTACAAGGAAAGAAGATGATGGAAAGTCTGTCCATGGAATGACGTTGTCATGTTACAGCATTTCTGGTCATTGAAATGTATTTCAGCATTCAGTTTCAACAGTCTACTACACGTTTTAATAGTGCTTTTGAGAGCCATCATCTATTGCCTCCAATGACACATCATCACACATGCTTATATCAATTCACACCACCCTTTACTTAAATTTTTGAGGGCAGTGATGCACTTCACATGCAATAAGGTAAACATGCCAAGTGCAAAATATAAATAAGCTCGGTAAATTCATATAAAGCATGACATACATCCTTTTAACTGCAGTTATTCCATGTAAAAGTGTGTGGAATGGCATCATAAAAGCTGGCTGTCAGAGCTAATCTCACAAGCTCTCGGTTGCTAGGGGAAAGAGCAGGTGTTTTGCAGTAAAATGCACATAAGACAGCTGTGAGCTCTGTGCGTCTCTTCTCACTACAGATGTATATTTTCTTTTCCACTCCTACAAAACACACTTCTCCCCTGGTTAACGGGGGGAAGATGTTGCATGGGTATGTTTACCTGCCTCTGCTTTGTGAACATTGGAAACAGGGTTACAGATCCTTTTTCTCTGCAGCTCAAAACACAGAACTTCTACTTGCAACATTTGTCCCACAAGGCCCTAAACAGTCTGTCTGTCCCTCTTCTTGATTGCAAAGCAAGTTATTATACCATGCTATATCATTTAATTGATGCATTGTTAGTAAAAAAGGTGTTAAATAGGTTCTGCTATATTCAGCTTCTAACAGAGGTGGAACAAATTGCTTGGGAGAATACACAGGAAATAAATACAAACTGAATACAATATAAACTGAATCAGACATGCTGAAATAGCAGCACATCAGTGTAAAAAGTGCTGACACACCCCACCAACTGAAAAAGCTATTGATAGCTCCAACCTGCAGCAGTATTGACAACTTCATGTTGAAAACATCCATTCAGCAGAATATAACGGTAGCATAAACTGAAAAAGTGTCATTTTGAATACAACTTTCACCACAGCAAAGCTCACAGGAATGATACTGCCAGATTTTTCTATTATCATGCATTTCCTCATAACACAACAGAACTAAACTGGGCCATTTCCTGGCATGCAGTTCACCATAAAGATACATTTAAATTAAGTAATGTGCAGGTTATCTAGATTTTAAACCACTTGAAAATGGTTTAATGCGTTTAAGAATCTGTTGATTCACACAGCACAAATTATATTCCATTTCAAATCATCACTCCAATACTCCAAGAAAAAGAAAATTTTAGATCAACATTACAAATGAATGCATTAGATTTTTACAAAAACACACAAAAAATATACAATATTAAAAAATAAATGGCACCAACCAAATATCACTTGACATACTATGACACCTGAAACAAATAATGATCCATTAGAGGTTGCCGTGACAACCGATTGGTGCGCATAATAATCTAGTAAACTGTGATTGGTGATTGGTAGAGGCAAGCACTATAAAAATACCAGTTTAGTATTTAGTAACAAAGCTGCATGTTTAGGTAAAAGTTTTTTTTCTTTCTTTCTTTTTTCTTTTTGATGCCTGGCTGAGGGTACTACTTGGCTTGATATGGGTACTACTTCAGTGCAAATTTTAAGGTATGTTTAGTTTATGGATTTGCTGATTAACTTTTCTACGATTCTCAAACAACTTTACTGACTGTGTTAAAGTGTTTTGCAGTTACTAAAAGTAAATGTTTTGCAGTTTTTCTTTGGCAGTACTTTTAGGCCTTGGTGTTCATGACAGTATTGTGACTGGTAAGTTTATCTAGTTGAATTATGTAATTTAACTTTGTCAAAAGTCTTAATGATGAATTCTTTAGTTGATGGCTATAGCTCTGTCAGCAATGGAGGCGATCCTGGATATTACAACCCTGATATCCCAAAAAATGGTCAACCCATGGAGGATGTTAAACTACAAGCATTTTACAACTGGTATGGCTTAAGAGATGTAGCAGGACCAATCAGGCCTCTGAGTTCTAAGACTGTAATCTATAGTGCTGCAGTTAAGGGAGGCTATGGTACTGGAAGCTACAGTTCTCAGACTGGCTTGTCCGGTGGTCCAGTGGCAAGTGGAAGTTCTGGTTCAGACACCAGAAGCCAGCTTCAGGGCTCTCAACTTGCTTCGGCTGGAAGTGGTAGTGTTGCTCATGGCTCTGTGGGTAATGCAGTAGGTATGGGCATGTCAGGGTATGGCTTAAGTCAGTCAGTTGGCATTAAAGGCTCTGACACTATCCATTCTTCCTTGGTCTTGACGCCATTGCAGCAAAGCACTGATTCTGTTCTTAAGCCAGTGCAGCTAACTTCCCAAATTCCTCTGCAGACCAGCAGGGACTCTCAGGCAATGCCTGACACTCAACAGCTAGTGCAGACAATCTCCCAGTCCAGTGGTCCGCAACCAGCACAAGCCAGCTCTGGAACCATGGCACAGTCTAGCTCCGTGCAGTTAACCCAGATCAGTGGCCAGCAATTAGCACAGGCTAGCTCCCTGTCTGCATGGCAGTCAAGCAGAAAGCCTCTTAAGCCTCTAAGAGATCAATTTTGGCGACCTGGTTCCAGGCCCTTTTCAGGTTTCAGGCCAGTTCAGAATCCAAGCTTTGGATTTTTCATGCCTTTGCCCCCCCGAAATGAATCCGTGTCACAACCTAGCTACCAAATAGTGCAACACAGCAGTGAGTTGAGCAGCCCTCCGGTAGCTAAGACTAACGATGCACTTGTGAGTCAGTCTTTCGGCCAGCAATTAGCCCAGTCCAGTGGCCAGCAACCAGTACAAACTAGCTATGAAACTCTAGCTCAACCAAGTATTCAACAACTAGCACAGGCCATCCAGCCTAGCAGTGAACAACCAGCACAAGCCAACTTTCAGTCTATGGCCCAGGCCAGTAGCCAGCAACTAGCACAGGCCAGCTACCAATCTGTGGCCCAGCCCAGTAAGCAGCAACTTCCACAAGCCACTGACTTGTCTGTGATTCAGCCCAGCAGCCAACAACTAGCTCAAGCCAGTTCTCAGCCCAGTGGACAAGTACAGGTCCGCTATGTGTCTGTGGCTCAGCCCAGCAGCCAGCAACTCTCTCCGGCCATTGACTTGTCAGTGTTCCAGCCCAGTAGCCAACAACTAGTGCAAGAAAGTGGCCAGTCTGTAGCCCAGGCATCCAGCCAGCAGCTAGTTCAGGCCAGCCAATCTCTTTCCCAGTCCAGTGGCCAGCAACCAGCAGGGGCTAGCTATATATCTGTGGCACAGCCCAGTAGCCTGACTCTTTTCAAGCCCAAAAAAGGTAGGCTTCAATATGGCTCCAAGCTCTTTTCTGGTACCAGGCCACTCCAGAAACCGAATTCTATCACAATTGTTCAGTCCAGTAGCCTTCCAGCACAAAGCAGCTATCCATCTGAGTCTCAGGCCAGTGTCCAACAACCAGCACAAGCCAGCTACCAGTCTGTGGCCCAGCCTGTTTTCCAACAACCAGCACAAAGCAGCTACCCATCTGAGTCTCAGGCCAGTTTCCAACAAGCCAGCTACCAGTCTGTGGCCCAGCTTGCTGTCCAACAACCAGCACAAGCCAGCTACCCATCCGAGTCTCAGGCCAGTATCCAACAACCAACACAAGCCAGCTACCCATCTGAGTCTCAGGCCAGTATCCAACAACCAATACAAGCCAGCTACCCATCCGAGTCTCCGGCTGGTATCCAACAACCAACACAAGCCAGCTACCCATCTGTGTCTCAGGCCAGTTTCCAACAACCAGCACAAGCCCGCTACCAGTCTGTAGCCCAGCTTGCTGTCCAACAACCAACACAAGCCAGCTACCCATCTGTGTCTCAGGCTAGTTTCCAACAACCAGCACAAGCCAGCTACCAGTCTGTGGCCCAGCTTGCTGTCCAACAACCAGCACAAGCCAACTACCAGTCTGTGTACCGAACTGTTAGGCCACTGGTTGCACAAGTCGGCAGCCGACAGTCACCAGGAGCCAGCTACTCTGTGGCTCAGCCAAGCAGCCTGCAAAGAGCACAATCCTGCTACCAGTCTGTGGTCCAGCACGGCACCCAAATGGATTTTAAGCCAGTGCAGGCCCAAGGGGGACACATTTATCAGATTGGCTCCAAACTTTATTCATGTCAGGAGTATGTATCCCAGCCCAATTACCAGCTTGCAGCCCAACCAGGACAGAATGGGTATCCGCCTCCATCCAGACTAGTATCTTCATTCTTGGCTCAGCACATCAAACCTGTCGTACAACATGAATACCGGGCCCCAGTAAAGCCTGGGCAGGGCACCTATGTGTCTGTGGTGCCACCCAGCAGACATCCTGGACCACTGCAATCAACACTCCTGTCCACTTTCAGACCAGCACAGCTGCCGGAACAGCCTAGCTACCAGCCCCCAGTCCTTCCAAGCCGACAGCCTCTAGCTAAGCCTGCACTGCCTAATTATGGTTCTGTATCACAGCCCAGTGGACCTAAATCTGGAACTTTGAGACTATTGCAACAGCCTGGCTACCGGCCTCTGGCCTGGCCAGGGCAAGATGTGCATCAGCCCCCATTTAAGCCAGAACCTTCCAGCTACCAGCCTCAAATGTTGCCTAGCCGCCAGTCACTATCCCAGTCTGGTTACTCTTCCCCAGTCATGCCAGCACAGTCCAGTTACCAGGCACAGTCAAGTTCTGAGACCGTCTCTCGGTCTGGGTGCCAGATCTCTTCCATTGCACGGCAGTCAAGTTCCCAGCCTCAAATGCTGCCTAGCCGCCAATCGCTAGCTCTTTCTGGCTGCTCTTCCCCAGGCATTCCAGTGCAGTCTAGTTTAGAGCCCCAGGTACAGTTGAATTATGAGACCGTATCACAGCCTGGGTTCTAGACCTCTATGCTTGGGCAGTCAAGTTACCAAACTGTATTCAGATCATGTTCCCAATCCCTGGAGCAGCCCAGTAGTCTCTTTTTCAAATTCTGTGTCAGAGTCAGTGCAACCTGGAATTTGGTATTCAGCACAGTTGAATTATCAGCCTGTCACAAACCAAAATGCTCCTGGACCAGCTCAAAGTAGCCAGCGTTCGTCCCAAACCAGTTTCAGGCTTTTGAAACGAGTGAAGTCATAACCATTTACTTGTGTTTGCCGATTCCTGGTTTTGGCTTGTTTGCTTTTAAAGTTTTGAAAGTGTCAATAAATGTCATTAGCACATGTATCTTTGTGTCGATTCTTACCTTTTGTTGGTAGTTGATACATCTGTAAAGAAAAGGGGAAAATGTGACTTTTACATAATCTAGTAGTTTAAGTTGGCTAATAAGTTCCACTGAACATTAAGACTTCCAAAGTTTAAGCAGGTATATGCCAAAATGGTAAGTTCTCAGCTTATGTATAGCAAACGCTTGCCTTGAAATGGTAATATTTCCCTACTATGTATTTTAGTAATTCCCAATACTAAAAGGCGTTCCTAGGTGAATATAATGTGTGGAAATTACAAAGTAGAAACTTACTAGTCTTGTAATAACTGGTACACTCCTGACCAGCAGGAGAAACTGTAGAGACTGCTTGGGATAAATTATCAGAATGTTTTTCCTGAGTCACTTCCAAGTCACTTGAATGTGTCTGAGGCTCACTGCATTTTGCTGTTTCATCTACAGAGGTAGTTTTGCACTTCTGTTTGCTGATCTCTTCAAAATTGAATTTTTCTTTCTGCTCCTCTTCCTCCACATCCTTTTCCAGGTACTGGTGAGCTGTGGACATGGGCTCTGTAAAAAAGGAGAGTCCAATGTTACTTTGTACATCATACTACACTGCATGTAGGTCTTTTACTTGCACTTCTATAAAGTGTGTATATATGTCTAAGATATACGTGTATAAATATGTAAGGCATGGATTTATGACAATTACATCACCTACTGTTTGGTTACACATTGAAAAAAAAGTTATTGTAAATTGTTATTGTATGAATTGCAAGTTTGTGTATCACTTGGGCATACTATTTTGGATCAACACACTATAAGATAATGTGAAAATGATGTCATCAAATTGTAATTATAGGCAACCCTGCTTTTTTCCTCCCCCTTGTAAACCACTATACACAGTTGATTAGACATTCTTTAGTTATCACGTCTATACACTGTCAAAAAATAGCTTAATTTAATGAGTTGCACCATTTAAGGCAAAATACTGCCTCATCCCACATTTGGCAGTTTAATGACCTCACAATTGTTTCCTTTGCTGGCACAGTTCCATGCAGTGATACATCTGCTGATATTGCCTTTTGGTAGATGACCTCAGTATCCACAAGGACATGATTGTACAGGAATTACTTTATTTAAAAAACTATAGGGATAAGGGAATAAATTACAGATAATAAGGTTTTATGTGCAGAACACAAATGATGTCACAGCCAGGCATACAAGGCAGAATATCAATTATGTGTTGAAGTTTAATTTATTATCCAAAATCTATGTTTGCAATGGAATATTATATGCTTAAAGGACTACAAAAATTTGGTTTCCATAAAGGTACAATCAGATTTATTTACACACATCTACATTCTTAGACAGTAATGCATCACTAATTAACCCCATTAGACATGCTCACTAGAATCAATAATTAAGTGTGTCTTGTACAATAGACACCATCACTTTGAGCCAAGATCTGGTTGTCTGAAAACCTAACTACATATTATTTACCTATGTTTATTCAAATACTGAATCAGCTACAAAAATGCTAATGTAATATAGGGAGTCTAAACACCAGACATGTTTTTCAGAATATACCCTATTCATGTGTGTCCATTCTGATAAAGCCATTGTGTCCAAGGCCTTCTGTCCCTTACAGTGTACCACAAACACAGTTTCTCAAGCAAGCCCACTTCATGTTACACCACACACAATGGCACTCTTGTGATGAGACCTGGGAACAAACTCACAAAGCGTTGTTTCTGCATTCATCACTGAGGAATGCCTGGCTGTTTGTTAGATCACAAGTCAAAAGGTCAGTGGTATGTGATGTGAGAAATGGTGGGACCAAGCACTGCTAAAGAGAAAGGATCATCTGTCTCCAATATTTCATTCATTTGATAACAATGTATGACATGACAGTCTCAACCAAAGAGAATCACAGGAAATTGACATCATGACGATGCTGATTGGCTGATGGCACCACAAATGTGCACAGTCCCCCCCCCCCAAAAAAATGCTTAAACGTATATTTTTATGAAGCAGACCATAAACTTATTTTCTCATGGTGTAATGCAGCATTACGATTGGCATTAAAAAGTATTGAGGCAGACTGGAATTGACTGCACATTAGTTAAGACCAATCTGCATCAATATTCAAAGCACAGAGCATGGATATCCAGAACCTCTGTCAGTTGTGGTTTATTGGGAGAAATTACCCTAAAAAGTCTCATGGAAAAGAAATTTTTAAAAAAATCAATAAAAAAAATCTATCGATTAAATTAATAACTCATCACAATATTTTAGGAGAAACATCTGAGACAAACTTAATTTTTAAACATACCTGAGAACTCCACGAAGTCTACCAAAATATGAAAGACAAACCAATAATATTTTCCTTGGGGGCAGTGTAAATGTGTTATTTACCTGAACTTGGAAGAACATTACTGCATATATTGTAACTGTGTAAACAGTTCTGATTGGCTGTTCATGTTGTAAAGCATATGTTGTTCTGTTTTCACTCTCTTGAAGAAGTGTAGCACCCTTAATAGTGGGTATTTGTGAAGAGATGTTATGCTAAACTTATTTTATATAGATTTCAGTAAAGATTATTTGCTCTTGATATGTCTCTTCTGTCTTCCCAAAGACAATACTATATAACTAAAATAATATATTGAAGTTAAGTTTTAAACTAAAATCTTTTTAATTTCATTTGTAATATTTAGAGTTTAAATTATTTAAGAATGATACAAATGTAATCTATGTAAATTTATTTAATGTACTTGCATTCTCCTGAATAGAAAATTCAGAATAGAATGCTGACCTTTACATTTTTATTGATAGGTAAATCAATAATAAATATGATTTACCATGATGGTCCCTGAAGCATCAATACCTGTCTGTGTTTGCATCTGCCTAATTTGCCTAGCTTCATCTACAGTACAGTAAGTAACAGATGAATTTGAACTGAACAAAATTTATTGGATGTATGATTGGATTTTTTATGTCAACCCCAATAAAATAAGAAGTAAGAAGTGTTTAATCAATAGGCCTACCTCTCTGGGGGGAAAAACAAAACAACTATAACCTACTGCATCTTCTACCCCCTGGTGGATTATTCACACTCTTTTTTTAGCATCATTCCAAGAATGTTCTATGTCATGATGTATGTCTGCTGATTTTTAAAACAGCAACAGCAACATAACAACAGCATTTACATTGTTATTGATTGATATAAGAATATTCACAGCATTGAAGCAACTTTTGTACACTATTATATTACATATTTACATTTGTGTTGTTTTCCCTGCAGCCTTCAACCCATTTTTGAGTTGCAAACCACCAGCTGACAACCACCAGTTCTTGCTAATAAAACTATGGAGGCAACAGTGTATCAACGCAAGGAGGAAATGTCCTTTTCCGCTTCTTATCAGTATCCCAAGAGTCTGTCGCATTGAATAGCTGGAGTTACAACAAGACAGCTCAGGGATATGCTGACAGTGATTCATGATGTCATCCTTGTCCACAGGGTATTAAATCAGGACATGTGCACAGGATGAATGAATGGCAGTGCAAAATATTAAAATACAGTATGTCAGATAATAAAATAAGGTTGTGTTGCAACTTGTGACTGTTGTTTGCACATGTATTTCTATCTTCCACAATCTCCTTTCTTAATTTTAGCAGGATGTATGAACAAAAACACCAGTGCGTTCTGACTTAATGGCCGGTTCCATGGAACTGCACCTTACCCTTCTATTTAAACTGCAGGATGACTGTGTCCACACCTCTACATGTCCTCTATTGTCACAATTGCACATACTCAAAATGTGCCAGGTCAGCAGTGGCTGATTCTGCAGACCACAGACATGCAAGGATGCATTATTTATCCTTGGGATTGTCTATAATTCACTTTTAAAGTAATAGCTGACAATAATTGCCAAGCTCCACCGTTTTATTAGTTTTAAAGATGCTTAAACCATTATCCATGCTTTTGTCACATCCCGCCTTGATTATTGCATTGCCCTTTTCAGTGGTTTACCTGCCAGTTCAGTATATTCAAAATGCTGGTGCTAGACTACTCACCCACACCAAGCACTCTGCCTACATCACTCCAATTTTGTTCAATCTCGATTGGCTTCCTGTTGCATATCGTATTAAATACAAAATTTTCCTGCTCACTTTTAAATCGTTGCACACCCTGGCTCCCCGGTATCTCTGTGAACTGCACCTCCCATACATCCCAACTCACTCATTACGCCCCTCTGATTCTGGTCTACACCCAGACTCTGGAACTCTCTCCACCGATCTCTTAGCTTGTCAATACTATTCTTGAATTTAAATCACTTCTTAAAACTCGCGTTTGTTTATTATACTGAGGTTCTTCTTTTCTAATTGTATCTTCACTGTAAAGTGACCTTGAGCACTGGAAAGGCGCTATATAAATAAAACGTATTATTATTATTACTATTACTATTATTATTATTATTATTATAGTATGTTAAAGTCAGGATGAAATGAAAGTTTGGTCAATTTATTTAAATGCATGTTATAGATCTTGTTGTAAACAATTTTTGTGTGCATATATTTTTTATTTAGGAAAAAAATCTTTGAACTCATAATACTTAAAGCAGCTTCACATTAACAACATTAACAACAACATGATAATATAGTAAAAATTCATCAATTATGAAATGTTTCAAAGTTCAAAGTTCATAAATTATGCAACAAATTCAGCTCGAATCAGTTCAATCTTGATTCAATTCAGTTCAATAACAGTGTCAGTGTTACAAAGTTAGTCAACGTCTAGCTCAATTCAGTTCAAATTTTGTTCTCATTTGATAAGTGCTGTTAAAGCAATAATATTACTGAATATTGATCATCATAACTGGACCTTTCAATGAAAATGACAGGCTTCTCTGTCATACTCTCCAATCAGCTATTGTTCATTTGCCTTTATTTAAAATCCATCAACAGCTGGTGCATAAAATCAAGTCGCACATTACATTTTTCCTTCTTCTTTTTTTTGGTAGGTATAGTCAGATTATCGGCACAATACAAAAAAAAAAAACATCTGTTGCTACTTCTGTTTCACTGCAACTTTAAAATAAAATGCAGAGTCACCATGTGTAAATGACTGGAGCAAGGAATTCCATTGGCCACCTGATAATAGTGATGCCAAAACACATATAACCATAAAACACACAACAAAGAGAGTCATGTAACATGTCATTGTTCAGTCAGATTGTTCATTCACATCCTCAAACCTTCAAAGCATGATGTGGTTTGGCATGCACAAATTCAAAAGATCTGTTCAGTTCTGCCTTTACGTCTATAGAAACAATCACATAAAAGCTCAAGCTCCTCTTTCACCTTCTGAACATATAGTGTTTCATGTCTCTCATGTAGTTGCGTAATGTGTTCTCAGACAGGGCAGAGGGCTTCGTACAACACCTTTGACTTTCTGAAGACTTTCTCACACGCCTCAGGGTGCCAGACGGAAACCTTCAAATTCTCATTAACATGTGGTCGAAGCGGGCCCAAAACCCCCTTTGGATTGGAGAGACCACTGACAGGGTGCGTTTCTACTGCAGCTCTCTCGGACATGCATGTACTGCTAACAACGCTGAACTGTCATAGAGAAAAAAGGAGGGAAACGTAACATGGCCCATTTTTAAACTATCTAATTCTGGAAGCGTAAAAGGAAGTCGGTGAAAGTTGAGTGGCAGCTAGATGCAGATTAGGAGTGCTGGGGTTGTGAGGCCCCTCAGTACTACACAAAGTGTGTGATTATGGATCTTATGTTGGAATTAGTCCATAAAAGCTGCTCTAATTTATCTCTAAATCAGATATGTGGTCATACAGAGTTTGAAAATATTCAACAAGTCCCAGTTCGCGTTTAGCACCTCAGAGTTGCATCTGTGTCAGAAGTTCTGCTGGTTAGCAATGGGTTAAAGGGATAGTTTACCCTCAAAAATCATTTCCTAACCCTCATATTGATTCAAAGCTCTTTGACTTTCATTCTTCTGTGAACAAGTGGATATTTAGAAAAATGTCTCAGTATGGAACGTCCATTGTATAGACAAAACCATTTGAAATTTATCAAAATATCATCTTTTGAGTTCCACTGAAAGTCATACAAGGTCTGGGATGACATGAGGGTGAGTAAATGATGACAGAATTTTATTTTTCTCTTTAACGGCCTGTGAGAGGGTTTAGGGAGGTTTATAAGATCCCACTGTTTCCCAATGAGCCACTGAAATTAGGGAGAGTGCACAGCCGCCTCTTCTCCTACCCCCACTCTAGAGAAAAGACCCCTTTTCATGGTGCCCCTGCCTTTGTTGCATGAACGAGAAGCAAACTTAGAGCATTAGTGTGCACAAGAAAAGTGAAATTGATAGACCAATAAACAGCACAACTCACCTTTTTGTCCTCAGCAGTACTTCCACAGGAAAGCTTCAGCACCTCCCAAGAGGGACTTTAATCCCAACAACCTCCCATGCACTTCCTGCTATGAAATCAGCTGCCTCCTTGAACACATCCTCATCCTCCGTTTATCCGCTGCTGCCGGACTGAGGCCACTGAGAGGGCGGCAAATACCCTGTGCTGTTTACTTTCCCACAGGCAGCAAGTTCCCTACTCCATGCACTAACCGCTCCACTCCTCCTCGCTCTCGTAGGCTGAATGAGCCCCCTTCTTCCCCCCGGCTTCTGTCACTCCCTTCTTTTCTCTCGTTCATTCCCTCCCCTGCTGTTGGACAGTTACAGCCCTTCTGAACAAGTATAATGGCTGTTAAGCTCCACCAATGGCTGAGCTGTTGGCAGACTTGTCATCCAATTAAAGTCAGGTTAGATGACCAAGGGGCAGGGTCTAGAGAGCTAAAGGGAAAAACAGAGTACGACAAGTCTGGAAGGGAGGGAGAGAGAAAAACAGAAACAGAGACAGGGATTACACCATCTCTAAACTGGCCAAAAGTGGAATCAATAGTATTAGCTAAGTGGGTGACCATACCACAGTATTGTGCAAACTCTGCAAAACACAATATTATAATATTTCAATATTATAATATTATATATATATATATATATATATAAATGATATGTTAGATGCAGTGCAATGTACAAAAATGTTATACCATTTTATAAATTATATAAAAATTCATAATTCATAAATAAATTATGTCTTTGAAAAGCATTTTAAATAATACATTTTGAAAAATGCTTTTTGAAATTAAAACATTTGTATTGTTCTGTAAATATATGATAATTAACTGTAAAACCAAAAACAGTAAACCTTATTTTAGATTTATTATTATTACTACTATTATTATTATTATTAAAACACTATGGTTCTTAAAACATTAAAAACTATTTTTGTGTAGAAGGCATGTAACATTTCAGTACCTAATTTTCTTAGGTAAACAGTTGCATTCATTTAAGTATAACAAACGCAAATAAACAAATAGATTTATGAAATATTTACACATAAATGTAAATATTTATAGGACCCATTAAGAAAATACACTGTGTGCAAAGTAAAATAGTCATAGCTCCTACAATGGACTTACAAGACTGTGGGATGGTTAAAAACATTTTCTTTTCTATTTTATTTTATGAATTTAATGTAAAATTTATTCATGATAAACTTCATTCGAATGCTGTCTACATCACTTGCAATACAGTCTGGTAGCCTAGGCCTATGGTTAATATAATTTAATAATGTAATCATTTCTATAATAATAAATTATTCAAAAATGAAAATTCTGTAATCATTTATTCCCCTTAAAGTTGTTCCAAACCTGGAACAACTTGAGGGTGAGTAAATGATTACAGAATTTTCATTTTTGAGTGAACTATCCCTTTAAGTAAAAGTATGTATTGCATACTCCAATATGCTTAAGGTATCGAAAGTATGTACAGTATTGTTCTGAAAAAGAACTCGTCAGGATGGTTTTGCATTAATATTACTGCTGCACTACTGTGTATGTTGCATTTTACTTATGAATATGTTCAAGGTTGTTACATTAAAAGTAGCCTACTTTCATATACTGTTGGGTAGTTTAAGCTACAACAATGCATCATGTTGTAAAAGACCATATTTTTGTAGTGTTGCTGTCCTGTGAAAAAAAAAACAAAAAAAAAACTTATGTACTACACATTTGTACGAGAATACTTAAAGAATGTACTTCCTAACAGTCCACCACTGATTATTTTGAAAATGAAGCTAACAACATTTATTGTCAGAATATTAACAAATCATTGCTAACTACAGCTGCGTACCATATCAGAGGCTGCATCGTTCAGAAAACTGTTCAGTTGTGGCAGATGCCGCTGAACAATGCTCAATTTTTTTATTTTTATGGTTAACTGCCTAAAAATCAGGGTTGCAAACCTGCCAGTGTTCACCATGGTCAAGACAATGAACTAAAATCACACCTTTGAAAGATATCAGCTGGCATTTGAACTGCTGTGTGTTTGTGTGTGCGTGTATTTTGTATTTTTTCATATGTATCATTATATTATTCAAGTAAGTTCCAACCCAATACCTGCATTTAAAGTTGTCCGGCAATTAAGGACTCAGCCTCTAAATTGGAACGCAGCAAACCAGTGTAACTAACCTGGCCATGGTCTTGAGGTACATCGCCCAGCGCCGCTGTGGGTGAAACATTCCCACCATCTCCTCCATTATGACGTAAAACATAAAAACAAAAATCCTTCATTCAGCTGAATTTGAAGGATTCATGGAATGTATTCTTCGCAACCTTTAATCACCCACAATCCTTTGTACACATTCCATTTCATGAAAATAAACGGACAAAAAACGAGTCAGTACTGAGCTTGTCTGAATTTATTATTACATGTAAGACAAAAATAATGTTTTCGGACATGACAGCATAGACGTTATCTTTTCTTTTGGTGTAAATTACTCAAACGCTAAACGGCCAATAATGTAATGCCACTGGGAGACTGTAGACAGCTGTGATTCAATGTATTGCATTAATTGAAAACCAAATAATATAAAGATTTGTAATACAAAGTATTTTTCCGAAACTAAGTTTTGTTAGTATTTTTGTGCCGTGACGGTGAGGGTGGGAACATATGTGATGTAGCCACGCGCACTTACCCGTTTCCAGGAAACATGTCGTTCAAACCGGAAACCGTAGCAAAACGGTGCACACCGGTTTGAGCTTGAACTTGCCCCAGTGCATCTCAAAGTCTGGACCCGGAGGGAAATCAGTCCGGACCCGCCTCCATTTCGTATTTCAAGAACACGAATTTCCTACTTTGATAAACGCATGTTAAAATTGTAAATCATATGTTTAGTTTTTTTATTGTCTTTTTGGAGATGTTCCGAAATGAAAGCTAAGGCGAGATATTGAAACTTTTCCTTCATGGCATTAGTTGTCATGACATCCAGTGAGCGTATGACGTTTGACATAATCGGACGACATTTCACCGCTAATATGAGTACTTTTTTTGTTTTGTTATCACAAAGATTATGGGCATTTGACTTATAGCAGTGTCCAGTGTTTCCCATACATTGAGTTATTTGTGGCGGCCCGTCACAAAATCAAAACTGACCACCACAAATAGATTTTCCAAAAGGATTCTAACTACTTCGTTGAATAAACTGAGCACTGCACGTTTCAAAATTAAAATGCAACACGGGTGTTTTTATATGAATGTATAATTGAAAAGAACCGACCGTCTTCAGAAAACACTTGATGTTATTTTCATTTCGATTTTTGATTACAGCCGTTACCGGGGAAACCGCTATATCTCTGCTCCAACAGCGCCTCCTGCTGGCAGAGAATGAATTTGCATGCGCAAGTCTGTGGGATGGTGTCTTCGATACATAGACCTATAACATTGCTGGATTTGTCTGATGTCAAAACATGGGTGGGCACACCTATCAAAGCATCACCGGACTTCTTCAGGTGACTGGGTAGAGCCAATAGCCATGTTCATACAACCCCAGTTCCAGAGAAGTTGGGACGTTTTGTAAAATGCAATAAAATCAAGAATCTGCAATTTGTTAATTCTCTTTCACTTTTATTTAATTGACAAAAGTACAAAGAAAAGATTTCCAAAGTTTTCACTGACCAACATTAATGTATTTTGTAAATATGAACAAATTTAGTTTTTGACGGCTGCAACACATTCCAAAAAAGTTGGGACAGAGGCAAAATAAAAGTGAAAAGGTTATAGAATATCCACGTTAAACTGTTTTGAAACAGTTCACAGTAAGCAGGTGAATTGGTCAAGGTATCATGTTTGGGTATAAAAGGAGCATCTCAGTCTTTGCAAGCAAAGCTGGATCATGGCTCATCACTTTGTGCCAAATTTCACGAGAGAAGTGTCAAATCAAAAATCACATTTGGCAATGCAAAATTGCAAAGAATTTAGGTCTTTCACCAGATCAAGAAATGCAACTTGAATATCTGTTACTCTAGGAGAAAGCTATACATCAATTCTATGCAGTGATGCTGCCAGGTTCTCTGGGCTAGAGCTCATCTCAGATAGTCAAAAAGACAGTGAAAATGTGTGCTGTACTCAGATGAGTCCACATTTCAACTTGTTTCCAGGAAAAAATGGATTTTGAGTTCTCAGTCCCAAAGACCAAAAGGACCATCCAGACTTTCATCAGTGACAAATGCAAAAGTCTGTCATGGTATGGGGGTGCAGCAGAGCAAAGAGCATGGGTGACTGGCATATGTGCAAAGGTACTATTGACATGGAGGCATATATTGGGATTGTACAGAGATATATACTGCCATCAAGATGATGTCTTTCATGGGAAGTCCATGGTTATTAGATCAAGACAGTGTCAGCTCTCATTCTGCATGTTCTATAACAGCATGGTTTCGTAGACTCAGAGTGAATGTGTTAGACTGGCATACCTGCAGTCCAGATCTGTCTCCAATTGAAAATGTATGACCAGTCATGAAAAGGAGAATCAAACAACTACGATCACAGACTGCTGAGCATCTGAAGTCTTGTATCAAGCGAGACTGGACAAAAGTTTTGCTTGAAAAACTTTAACAATTAGTATCCTCAATTCCCAACCAATGAAACATTGTAATTAAAAGGAAGGTTGATGTGACACAGGGTTAAACATGCCTCTGTCCTAACTTTTTTGGAGTGTGTTGCAGCCATCAAAATCAAAATGTGTTCATATTTACAAAATACATTTACGTTGGTCAGTGAAAACTTTGGAAATCTTTTCTTTGAACTTTTGTCAATTACATAACAGTTAAAGAGAATGAACAAATCACAGATTCTTGATTTTATAGCATTTTACAAAATGTCCCAACTTCTCTGGAATTGGGGTTGAAATTCCAGTTATTACAACTGTGACCTTAATTGTCTGTTTCTTGGAAATATCTTGGCAAACAGCGATTAACAATAGTGGAAAAACAATATTTCCAGTAAGAAGAAAAACAAACACTCCCTCCAAAATCTTTAAGTAAGGAAATGACAGCTATTGTACTAAACTGAGTTTAGCTGAAATACATACCAATAACCTGCAGGGGGAATCAGCGATCCACCATCAAATGAACAGAGCCAGTCAGTAAGAAGAAAAAATATAAATATTCAATTCAATTCAACTTTGCTATCCTAGGTACTACCAAAAGTCCAGAGTTTTGCGACCTTATGGCAGCTCTAAAGTGATTTTCACTTTAATTTCTGCTATCAAATGAAATTAAATTACCATAAAGTTTTTTTTTGTTTGTTTTTTTGCGTTCATTAAATGCCACAATCTGGCACTACATCGTGAGTGCA